ACTTCCATTCCCGCGCACCCGCCCATCGTCTGTGGCGAGAATTACCCCTCTCCTGACTCAAACCAGCACCAGGGTGACTTCTGGTGTCTCGTTGCTCCCCATCCCACAGTTACGGGGGGAACGAGCGTGCAGCACGCGCACCGTTGCTGTTCTTGGTGGTCAGTTTTTAGGAAAGTGCTGGGAGGGAGCAGCTCGCGGGGCTGCTCAGGGGGAGATGCCTCCGGTCTCAGCAGGGCTCTGTGACGGCTGCGGTGAGGGACGCTCCTGTGCCGTGGCAAAGGCTCAACGCCGTCACGGGCAGCCCCGGACGGATCGCTTCTTCAGTTCAGCTGTGCGGGGGGGCCCTTCATTTCGTAAACTACCAAATGGATTTTCGTGGAGTAGTCCTGTGAAGACCCAAGTCGGCAGCATCCAGGAGAAATAGGGGTCAGCAGAGCAGTCGCTTTGGCTGCTGCGTTTGCGGCAGGCGTCTGGATGGCTCGTGCCAAACGCAGGCGCGTCCGCGCGGGTGGCGCCGCCGCGGGTGAACGGGCCTGCTCACGGAGGAGCGAGTTACGCTGTCTGTGTTCGTATCTCGCTGAACTCGGGTTTTGCAGGGAGCGAGATGTTTGTTCAGGGAAGTGGCGTAGTGGGAAGCACCGAGTAACGAGGTTAGCTGCAGAGGTGTGGAAGCCAACGTACCTTCTTGAACAGGTGTGAGATTTTGGGATGCCACTAGACTGTTAAAAAGCAGTGACCCTGGTGATCTGCTTTGAGATGAGGCTTTTGCATGTGATGGGCTCGGTTATGAGACTCGGTGTTTTCTTCAGAGCCGTCCAGTGCTGACACGTCTATCTGTCACGTTAATTCTCACCTAGAACTTGGATCAGTGGACTCTCCGGCAGTCTTGGTTGGAGCTGCAGCTGATGATCAAACAGTGCATGAAGGAGCCTGTGAGTATTTGCTTTCAACCTTTCTTATCTAAATATTTAATGCAAAAAAAAAAGTATGTTAAATTTTAACGTAGTCCATGAGCAAACATACCATGAATGTGCTAGTTTACTTATGTTTTACTGTAGGGTTCTGGGTCTGTGGCTGAAATGAACAGCTTGTTGGATAATATTGCAAAGGCGACAATAGAGGTGTTTCAGCAATCCGCTGATCTAAACAATAACTCTTCTAACTCTGGTATAGGCCTCTTCAATCCAAACTCTGTTGGAAATGCTGACACAAGTAATACAAGACAGAATGGTAAAAAGACATTCCTAAGGTATTTTTTGTAGCACCTTTTTAATTATTTTAGCCGACGTGATGCTTAATTTTGTGTAGATTGCCTAGACCTTTTTTTGCACTTGAAACAGGAATGTACAGAAATGAGTTACCTGCAGGTTACTTCTATTTACTCTTGTTTAACAATAAATATCGTTGCTATTTTGAGTTTTCTGGAAGCCAGAAATTGTGACTGCTCAGTCCATAGTAGTTACTCCAGATGCATTGTGTCAACTGCTTTATGAAAGCAGTTCAGTCTTGTAACAGCTAAGACTGGTTGCAAAACTGCACGGATGCTTGGCTGAAATACATCTGTTCTACTTCTAGTTCCTCTGAGCGACGAGGAGTGTGGCTGGTGGCGCCCTTGATTGCCAAACTGCCTACCTCGGTTCAAGGTAGGGTCTTGAAAGCTGCTGGAGAGGAGCTGGAGAAAGGTCAGCATTTGGGGTCGTCTTCTAAGAAGGAGAGAGATAGACAGAAGCAGAAAAGGTACGGCCTCGGGCAGTCCCTGTACGCAGAGCCGAAAGGTGGTTTTGGAGGAGGAGGGTACTGGGGACGGGGCCTTGGCTTCACGAAAGCTCGTTAGGGTTATGGTAGGAGTTGCGTTGAATACTGCACACGACAAGGTCTCTCAGCTTCAGATGCCAACCACCTTCTTGTGAAGCTCTTCCGGAGTACGGTGGTCCAAGAAAACAAACCACTTCTCAAGGGCTTGTGGTGTCTGACTGTCGTAGGTGGTCCCGCCGTGATGTCTCGCGACGTGGTGCTCGTGTGCGTTGTCTGCTGGGTCACTTCCATGTCCTTCGTGCCATATGCTTTCCCCGAGTCCGAGAATTGGCCTTTCCCACGCTGTAGGACTCGTGTGAACTGGTGCGGCCTGCGTTGATTTTGTCTTAGGGTTGTCATTACGTTCTGTGGACCCTTTTAAATCCGCTGCTATTGTCCAGCCCCTTCCACATAGCTTATTTTCCCTTAAAGGTTAGAAAATGTGGCTTTTTGCTTGCCACCACGACCGCAGCAAGCCGTTGCTCGCTGCTGTGCCGGACCCTCCCGGCCATCCGGGCTGTTTCCTCGATAAGCTTCTTGCGTGGGTTGGAAGTTCTGTTTGCCATCTCCGGTTTTTGAGTCACGTGTGCTCTTCGTTCGCCGTGTGAAGCCGCCCTTCCTCGTCCTCCTCGCTCCTTGGTGACACCTGCTTGACCCCTTGTTAGGTAAAGAGACACCTTGCTTCCCGGCTCAGTTTGCTGGGTGTTTGTGAGCATTCCAGCGCTTCCCCGTTAATCGCTGCCTCTCACTACTCGCACCAGTAGAAGGGAGTGTGGAACTTCCCTCTGTATCCCTTTCTTTTCCTGTGGGAGAGCTCTGGCGTAGAAAATCTAAGACAAGCCTCTCTCAAAGCCCAGGTAAAGTGCCTGGAGCAACTGTCGAGCCTTTCCTGCACAGTGGTTCCTACGCGTGGCAGTAAAAGCGCTTACGGAGTTGTTCCAGGTGGAACAGTAAGTTGCTTCCTTCTCTGCTTTTTGAAGCTCTCCAATCTCTCCTCGATCGATCACGAAGTGAGTGAGCAGACCCGCGGTGCTACAGGAAAGCACGAAATCTTGTATAACCTACACGGTCGTAGGTAACACGCTTCAGGTCCCTTTTTTGTTCCCCAGACTGCGCTGTGTCACTGGGACAGCGACTGCAGTAGCAACTGCGAATGTCTCGCGTGGGAATTGGCTGGGGGGCGTTCCTGCCAGGTTGCTCCCAAAATATGAAAAGTCCCTGTTTAACAGGAGTGGTGAAAATGCAGACTTTGACGGGACCTTGGGAATTGGCCATTCCTTTTACTAATTCTCACCCAAATTGTTGAAGTCAAGTTAAATGCCAGGTTAAGGAACCTGTTGGAAGAAATGCTCGTGCTGCATCCCCACGTGGAGGCGTGGCTGCGTGTCGCTGTTGTGTTTGCAGACGCGTGTGTCACCCAGGAGCCCGGGTCCCTGGAACTGCCGACACCGTTGCTCCAGCTGCCACTCACGTCCCTTTGCTGACGTCTCTACCTGCTGCCCCACATCCTGCACCGCCACACTCACCTGTGTTGGTTTCTTTCAGTTTGTCGTGACTTCAGGGTTCTGGTGGGCAGGTGTTAATCCGAAAGCCCAGGTGAACAGCCGCAGGCGCTGCGGGGGCACGGCACGGTGCCTGCAGCCGGCTGCCTCTGGCTCTCCTCGCACCTTGCCCGCCTTCGACTCTGCTGGCACCCGGGGCTGCCCTCTCCTCGGGGCTTGGGGGGAGAGTGCTGGGGGTTCACCTCAGCCCACTCAGTGATGCTCCTGGCTCACTAAGGTCGTCCCCAGCAACGTGCTGCGTTGGCGAGTCCGGTTCGGAGCGCGATCCCAGTGCTCACACCAGACGTGCGTTCTCCCCGCGTGGTCCTCGCCTTCCCTTCCAAGGCTTTAATTTACCGGGAGAGAAACAGCCGTAGGTGCAGGCAATGCCACTTCCAGGGAAAAAAGGAGAGGAAACAGGGACGGGAATGAGGAGGGGAAGCAGCAGAATAACTTTAGTGACTGACGTGTGTTTGCCTCTCTCCCAGCATGTCTCTCTTGAGTCAGCAGCCTTTCCTTTCACTGGTACTTACGTGCCTTAAGGGGCAGGATGAGCAGCGGGAAGGGCTCCTGACGTCGCTGCAGAACCAAGTTACCCAGGTAAAAGGAGCACACAGGCACAGCACCCTGGGGAAGGGCCTTGACGTGTCAGCGCTGCGCGGTGCTGCGGAAGCGGGGGAGCCCTGGGGCGGCGGTGTGCTGAGAGCAACAGCCCCAGGAAAGAGGAATGGGGAGTGTTTGTTCCTTTCTGAGAGTGAATACATCTGTTTTTCCAAAACTGTTATGGAGAGACATGATGAGCTGATTTCAGTTCTTTCCAGGAAAACAAGGAAAGCTGGTTGTCCTGAGAGGAACCATCTTCTCAGTCTCTAGCTTGATCATAACGAGTTTTTATAAGTTTGAGGCTCTCCTTCCTTACAAAAACCCTTCCTCTCCTCCTGTTGGTACTGATTAACAGTTTTCTGTGTTTTGAAAGGCAATATTGCTGGTCCCAGGCTGGCAGGTGTCCAGCAGCGCTTCCGTCGGGTCACTCGTGCCTACTCACAGCCTCTGCTGATTCTGCTCCAGACTTGTTGCTCCCGCCTGGCGCACGCTCTGGCCTGCAGCCGCTCCTTAGGACTGTCCTCGCGAGGAGCAGTCGGCGCCCAGCGTGGCGGATGCGTCGTTGCTCTTTCCTGTCCCTGGGTTCTGCGAGTTACCCGGACAGTGAAAACTGGTGCCCGCATGGCCGCCATGTTCTCGCGTTGCCTCCCCGCTCGGGTCCAGGCTATGATGTCGGTCCCACATCGTAGTTACACTCATTCCTTTGATGGTTTTATCCCGGGTGTTGCTGCCACTTGGGCTTTGCTTTCGCTCTAGGGTTCTCCCCTGAAATGCAGCTGGTCCAGGTTCCCTAGGGTGCTGGTCCTTTCTCATCCAGGGATCCCACCGGATCCCAGAGATCTATGTACTTACCCGTGCTGAACAGTTAAATAGGGTGCTTGAAACAGTGTTTTTAATAAATACATAACGAAGCTGCTTATTCTCTGTTTGCTGCACCAGGAATATCTTGTCACACAAGGGGTGGCAGGTTATCAGCTCTTTACAAATTCATTTTTCGCCCCGCTGGTTTTCTTAGTCTGCTCTGAACCTAAACAGGCCCGAGGATGGAAAGGTTAACAATTTATGATGATTCTTCATATATAATGGTCACAAATACTTCAACTTCAAAGGGAGAACATTCCTTTACAGGAATAAAATAACTTAGTCAAATGCTTTTCCTTAGATCCTTAGTAACTGGAGGGCAGAGCGGTACCAGGACGATGTTAGAGCTCGGCAGATGATGCATGAAGCCCTACAGCTTCGTCTGAACTTGGTAAGAAAAGCTTTTGTGGTTGTCCTGATGTTGTAAAAAGATGGGGGACAGGCTGAGGCTCCAGACTTGGGGCTCCTGGGCCAGGGCTGGGGGTGAGGGTAGCCCTAGGGGCTGCCCCTGGCTCAGGTTTGGCTGGCTTTGGGGTCTGTGAGTGCACTTGGGCAGCTCTCGCCCACCGCTGAGTAGGATGGAGACACGCCCCTTGTTGTGGGCTGGGAGAACTCTTGGTATGGGCACTATTTGGTTTAGTTTCAAAGCAGCAAGATTTTGTCCTTCTGTAAGCCACAAACACACCTGTAGGTCAGGGAGGAATCATGCCAACTCAGCCAGGTTTCGGAGCTCAAAGCAGGCACTGGGGATGGGAACAGTCTCTCTATTTGTTGAGCAAGGCCCAACCCTGAAATAAGCTTTAAGCATGGGGAATATTTTGCTTTTCTGAAGTTCCTTCTTAGGAGGTTTTTGCTGGGGGCACGGGTGGGAGGGAAGGTTATTTAAAGTCAGCTCTTCGGGCTGGGTAGCGGTTTGACTCAGGGAATAGAGACGATGGGGGGAGACGGGCAGGGCCATGCGCTTGTTTTGCAGGTGGGGGGCATGTTTGACACCGTGCAGAGGAGTACCCAGGGGACCACAGACTGGGCGCTTCTGCTCCTCCAGATAATCACTTCAGGAACGGTTGATATGCAGACCAACAAGTACGTCAGCGCTGTTTAAGCAATTTATCTTAATTTAATTTAAACAAGTTAATTCCCGTCTTTGGTGCTTTTAAGTTTAGATGGCATGTGTCATCGTTCTGTTTCTCTGCTGTTGTCCTACTGCTGCTTGGGCGCAGCTCACACGCTCAGTGCTGCTCTCGGCTGGGAGCACCTCTGCTCTGGAACGCGCTGGAGCCGCTGTTTACACTGTTCCTTAACGAGCACGTACCTGAGCGCGTTCCTAAACCGGAGCCTGTCGTTCCGAATTATCCGTCAGTGGCTTGTGCTGCCTGTCGCTCTGAGCTGGGGTCTCTAAGGACATCTGCGTGCACGCGGCAGTCCACCTGCATGTGTGCTGGGGCGCAGGCGGGGAGGTGCGCGGGTGGCCTGTCGAGGAGCTGCCTTTGTGGCCTCTGCCGGGAATATCTGTCCCTGGATCTCTTGGAAGTTCCTCAGGGTAATACTTGTGTTTGCTCCTAGCGAACTGTTCACAACGGTGCTCGATATGCTGGGTGTCCTCATCAACGGGACGCTTGCCTCGGACTTGTCCAGCGCCTCCCAGGGAGGCCCTGAGGAGAACAAAAGGGCTTACATGAATTTGGTGAAGAAATTGAAAGTAAGTGTTGTGTCGTTTCCAGCACTTCTTTTGCATCACGTTCTGTGCTCATCTTCTAATCCTGCCATTGCTAGTTCTGGGGGGGCCCTTGGAGAAACAGGAGAGCCTGAAACAGCACCAGTGCGAACGAGGAGATAAGGAGGAAAGTAAAAATACAGGAAAGGGGGGTGGGAAGATGGACTTCTAATAGTTTCTTCATATTAAATTAAAATTAGGGACCCTGCAGGACACTTGGTTGCCTCTATTCATGTGTGAGACGCTGCCTCTGTATTATGTGTTTCCTACGCCGCGTTTGAGGGGTAAGTGGAGGGACAACTTACATTCTTAAAAAAGAAATCGAGCAAAGAAACCCTGGCGGAACCATTTGTTCACACTTAGTAAAAGCACAGGGAAATGATTCATCCAGAAACGGGACGTTTTCTCATAGTGAAAGCAGTGCAGTGTTTGTCTTCCGCTTTCCTCCCGCCGTGTTTGAGGGATCGACGTGTCTCTTCTGCAGAAGGAGCTGGGGGACAAGCGGTCGGAGAGCATCGACAGGGTTCGCCAGCTGCTGCCTTTGCCCAAGCAGACGTGCGACATCATTACTTGTGAGCCCATGGGATCCTTGATCGACACCAAGGGGAACAAAATTGCCGGATTTGACTCCATTGATAAGAAACAGGCAAGAGTAAATGTTTGCTTCCACCTCGGATGTCCATGGTTTCCGCTTCCACGAGCGATGCCAACAGCGAGTAATGCCGGGCGTGCAGCATCCTGCCTTTAAAAGCAGGTGCAGGAGACAGACCGTGTTCCGGCAGCAGAAGTATTTCTGTTCCAAACACTCCTGCACAGTTTGTCTTTGCATGACCCGTGTGACAGTTCTCGGGCGGAGTGTGAGACCTGGGGTGGGTTTAGAGGGGCACGCGGGGGGTTGTTGCCCCAGGAGAAGGGGCTGGAGCAGCCCCGTGTGACCGGGACCGTGCGCCAGCGTCGCCTGGCAGCACCGACAGTCACTCCGTCCCCCTCTCCCGGCCAACGCACTGATACTTGGAGCGGTAGATCCAGATGCCCCTTGTACAGATTCAAGAGTTTGGGTACTTCGATGCGTTTAAGACTGAGCCGTGATGTGTGCCGTGTCCCGTCCTTCCTAAATCGCGTGTGTCACGGCTGGTGTGGTCGGTGCTGGTGCTGCCGCCTGCCGTGCTCGGTTCGGCAGAACGGGGTCTCGACTGAGCCCAGCCAGCCCCACACAAGCTGCAGGAGGGCAGCGGCGTTGGAGCGGGAGAGGAGCAGCAGCGGCTCTTGCGAAGCACGGGCTTTCCTGGCAGAACCTGCCTTTGGGAGCCCATTGGCACGGGGAGCTGTTGGCCCGGTGCTTGCTGGGAGGGAGGTGGAGGTTGATCCTGCTTACACAAGACAGAGGGAAGTAGAACTGGGCAGGGGAAGTGTACTAGTCGTTTCGGACTTTCTGGGAATACGAGGGGCCACATACTTTTTTTAAGTTAATTTATTTAAAAGAGAGGATAGAGCTCAGGAGAGGGTTTTATTCTGCAGACTGGGTAGGCATTTTTGGTGACAGGGCGCTCAGGCTCTCTCCCTTTATTTGAGTATGTAAACTTTTAGCGAGGCCATTCTCGGGTTAGCAACTTTTGATCAATATTAGACTTTTCCTCCAAAATGTGAAAGAAGGAACTTGAGGTTTTTAGCATCACTGTAAGCCAAGGGTACTGCACAAATACAGCGGCAGCCTTGGGTGGAGGTTAAAATCCCACCAGTTTGCATGTGGTGTATTTTGTGGAGGAGGAAAAAACCCTTACTGGGGTTTTCTGCCTCGAGTAATGATGTACAAAAGCAAGTCGCCTGCTCTAGTGTCCGACTCTCCTAAAATACCGACTTTTCTTCTGAAACAGGGTCTTCAGGTTTCAACGAAACAAAAGGTGTCCCCTTGGGATTTATTTGAAGGTCACAAAAATCCCGCTCCTCTCTCCTGGGCATGGTTTGGTACCGTTCGTGTCGACAGGAAGGTGTTAAAATACGAGGAGCAGCAGCATCTCCTCCTGTATCACACGCACACCAAACCCAAGCCACGGAGCTACTACCTCGAGCCCTTGCCCCTTCCCCCAGAGGAGGAGGAAGAACCCACCACCCCTGTCTCTCAGGAACCAGAAAGAAAGCCAGGAGAGCTCTCCGATCAGGGAAAACTTGCCACGGACGACGACAAGAAGACGAAGGGCAGGAAGCGGAAGTCAAAATCAAGCTCAAGGGCTGACGTGAGTGGTTGGTGCCCCGTACAAAACTCAGACTCTCTCGCCGAAGCATCCCGAGTGCGTGGTGCGCTTAGGTACCTTCCGAGAGTGCTGTGTGCCCGGAGGAGCGGGTCCTAATACCGGGAGGGAATGGGGATGGTCGGGAGGGTGGATTTCCCCAGGTCGAGCTCAGTGTAGAGGAGCGTTCTGTGCTTGGGACCTGACGCGCAGTGTAAAAGGTGCTGGACTGGGTCTTACGGACATTACCCCGGGTCCGTGTCTGCCTTCTCTCGTTCGGTGTCAGGTGCAGATGCTACTGTATCGATTCCCAAAATTCCTCCTGTTCAAATCCCCTTGCAAGCAAACGCGTTAGTTCAAGCCCAGGTTCCGCTCAGATGGAGACCCATGCGAAAGAAGCCCCGTCTCGTGGGTAAACTGCCCAACGGCGCGGCTTGTTCTGCTTTCTGGGACACTTGGCCTTTGGCTTTAACCTTGCTTGCGACGTGGGTTCCCGAGCTGAAGAACCGCTCGGGGCACGGGTTCACGGGCCTGGCACCACCCGACGAGTAACACGCAGAGTAGCAGCGTTCTGCCTGCTTACCACCCCTACGCATGCACCCCGTGTCGCTGTAGATGTGGTAGCGTTCTGTCAGCGTCCAGCTGCTTCGTCAGCGTGGTGTGTCCCAAGTAGCTGTAATTGAATGCCGTTTTCTGGCCTTTCTGGCGTTTCAGCTGAGTTCCTCCCATTGGTTACGCAGGGCTGCAGCAAGCTCGAGCTAGTGCTGGCCTGCAGAAAAACCTTGCTAGTGAGGCAAAAAGGGGTGGTGTGCCTGTGACGTTGTTAGTGTTCATCACCCCTGGGCAGCCTGAGACTTAAGCTGTTCTTCACATCACTGCGACCGGCAGTGGGAGCTGGCTCTGTCCTTCAATAATTCAGTAGGAAAATTGTCATTATTTATGAGCGAGTAAGGTGCGAATGTCGCTGACACGCGCTTTTCCTGTGTGTTTTAAGGAATATCCGCAGAACAACTTCTACCGCGTGCCTCCCACCTACTCGCCCCTCTCCTCGCAAATGATGCCCCACGCCCAGCCCGCGCTGTGGGGTTACGGCATCGTGGGGCAGCCGCCCCAGCCGGGCTTCTTCCTGCAGAGCCAGCCCCTCCCGCCAGGTACGTGTCGCCGGGGTCCGGGCGTGCGGCGTGGTTACGGGCTGTGCCGTGGAAACCGGCCCCGTAGAACCCCGCTCCCTCTGGGGCGATCTCCGGACGGGTTGTGTCTGCCAGTGCCGGTGTCTCCGTTCCTCCAGTCGCCTGTTTTCTAATGGGCTTTGTATTACCAGTCGTAGGTCCCTTTCTGGTAAGCTGTTGAACTTTTTGGGTTGAATAAGCAAAAATGACCCACTCTGGGGTGTGTGGTGGAGGGTTAAGAGAGCTGGTGGAAGCTCAGTGCGGAGCTAGAGGAGAGAGGGCTGATTAAAAGGAACAAGTGGCTTCTGAGTTCTTTTGCCCCTGGTTCATACCAAGAACCGTGGTGGCTAATCTAACGTCTGGAAGGGGGGGTAAATGAATCCCCAGGCTCACTTTAGTTCCGGTTTTGTGATATCTGCTCCATTTTTTGCAGGGTTGTGTTGTTTTTTCCAGTGACTCTGTACACCGTTCAACATAGTGGTTTACTTGCTGTAGAGGGGAGCAGGTCATGATGCTTTGGGAAATACTGTTGTGTCCCTCTCAGGTGTTCTGCAGGAGAAGTCTGGGTCCAGTTTTAAATGTTAAATATTTTTTCTGACGCTCCAGATACAAGTAGATGGGTATTTTAGGTGCATAAAAGTCTTCAGAATATACCAGACAGTGGCTAAAAAGTTGAAGGAAATGCTGATTTTAAAAGAAATGTGTAAGATTATCTGACCTACTGTTATCAGATGGCACAGAGTGCATAAATTATTGCCATCTCATCATAAAACTGGCGTGGCACAGTAAGCTCTTCATATCATGCGTTTGATCTGACGGGCAGCTTCTGTTCAGCAGTGGTCAAACGGCGTATGTGCCACGGAACACGCGACAGCCCGCGGCCTTTCTGCTTCCCGTGCCCATGTGCACGTGGTAGTCTGCAGAGCTACGTTGCCCGTTTAATTTTTCAGGCCAGAAACGTGGTTTAGCCCAGTTCACGGCCTTTACCACCGTGGTGGCAGAGCCAGGTGGGGGCTGGTGGATTGGCGGTGGGCCGTACCCCCAGCTCTCGCGGAGGGCACAGAGCACATCTGCGTTTCGGGTGGCTTTTAGGTGGTTCCAGGCTGGATGCGACAGGCTCCTTCGTTCCGACCAACACGAAGCAGGCCCTGTCGAACATGCTGCAGCGGCGCTCCGGCACCGTGATGCAGCCCCCCACCATCCACGCGCTCACGCCTCAGCAGCAGTTGCTCCAGATGAAGCTCCTGCAGCAAGAGCAGCAGCAGCAGCGGCTCCTCAGGCAGCAAGCACAGCCACCGCCTCTCCAACAGGTTTGTCCAAACTCCCGTGTCCGAAGGGCAGCCCAGCCCTTCCGGGGGGTCGGCCTGCGGAGCGCAGAGCCAGCCGGTACCTACAGCTGCAGTGATTCCCCAAGCGTTGCTGGACCAGGGCCGTCCCCTGTTAGACCCCACTTGCCCTTTGGTCTCCTGGCCCCTTCTATTTGTCCTGTGTTTGACAAAACCAGGTTTTGCTCCTGCTGCTTGGTGATGCCCTGGTTGTGTCAGGGGCGTTCGTCGTGGAACTGCTCTGCACCGCCAGACGACGGGTCAGCAGCAGCGGCACAGCAGTGCCCCTCACCGGGGCAGATCCAGGAGGTGCATTCCCATACGCGTGTGCACACAGCCGCCCGTGTTCTCTAGAAATAGCTGGCTCTTCTTCCCCTGACACCGCTGCAGAGCGCAGCTGCTCCCTGCCCAACCGCTCGGCTGTTCTTGTGCTGCACCCTCGGGAGCCTGAGCCGCTTGTCGGGGTAGGGCTGCAGACGGGCTGCGCTGGAGCTGATGGCGTGAGAACACCCGGACGCCAGACAACCAGCAGCACGTGTGCAGCAGTTGGTGGTGCAGCCGGTAGCTTTGCACCTTCAAAGTCCTTCCGCACCCGCTCTCACCCTCATCGCAGTATATGCTGTGCTGCCTTTACGCAGCCTTGCCTTCGGACTCTGTGGTGTGCCCTCTTTGCTCAAAAGAGTCAACGTTTTCAGCAAGTAACCTGATTTCTCCCACGCTGTCTCCGTTTTAACTCCCTCCCTCTCCTTCTTACCCCTTTTCCAGTCTCAGGGCTGTAATGCAAAGCCCTCTGTGGTGCTCAGATTGCTGATGGGCTGCAACGGTTTTACATGGGCAGTTCATAATTGTGAAACTGGGGTTTCCCTTTATGTGTACCGTCTTCTACCTTAAAAAACCCCCAAGGAGCCGTCCCCCAGAGCTCTGGACATGGGCTTTAGGGTATCAGTGGATCCCTCACCCGTGCCCTGTAGGCACTGTGAGGTACTGCAGATTCGGTACCCTGGGTGTCAGGGTACCGGGCTCTACAGTGACTCATCGCTTCCTATTTAATAGAAACCCCGTGGTATTTCTTACACTGGGCAATATCTGGCTGTTTCAGTGTTGGTCCGACTGGCTTTCAGTCGCTGTGGTAGGACACTGGCTTAAGAGCCTCGAGTAAACAAACGATGCGCGCTGCTTATGGCTAGGTGGCTCAAACGTAATAATTGCAGGTCTAAACCCCCGCATTATTCTCACATGTAAGAAATGCTGTTGTTTAACACTGTCAAGTTTAGAGGATGTTGCATGTCCCTTTTGGTCTCAAGCAAGGACAGTGTCTGAGGTGTTCAGAGCCCGGTTGACTTCTGCTGCATGGACGGGTTGTCGGCAAGGAGAATAATCTTAGCACGAAGGCACAAATCCCTGCCTAAATGGCATTAAGAAGGTGTCTGTGCTGAACGTTTTCATCAAATGTGTGTCGAACTCCTATGACAGAAAGGTTGTGGTGCAGTTCAGCA